GTATAATTAATTCTCTCTTGAGAAAATTTTTATTCCAACGACTTTATGAGCAAAGACCATCATACACCCGCAGGCATACGTGGCTTTGTGAGGCGAGCCTCCTGACCCCCGTGACTCCTAGTTTGTTTTGCAAAGCCTTTGGCTTACTTTGGGCGGTTGTTAAAAACAACCGCACTTGCTTCGGATTCTCCATACATTCTGGTAGCCAACACCAAGAACTACTTTTCTTCGAGATATATAGGTCTCAGGTATTGCACTGACATGGCAGGGGCGATCTACCATGCACTCGCTAGATTACTACCTTCAACGTACTTAAAAACCATTCAGAAATTTCCTAGGTAGTAACTAGCTATAGAGTGAAGAGTTCATCTTCCAGCTAACCCCTCCACCATCTCTCAGAAACTCGTCGCCGAGTTAGTAGCCCAAAACCTTAAACCCTTCTTAGCCGGCCGAAGCCGTTGCCCGGGGATCACCACTGGGAGGTGAGGGTTTCGGCCATCCAAATATAAAAGTAGTTTGTAAGGTTAAATTAAAAAAAATAATATAAATACAGTTGTGTAGGGTGCGATCGAGGAGAAAAATTTCGGCAGATTTTGAGAAGAGGAAAACATGGTATTAAAAAAAATGCGCTTTTAAACCAAATTTAGGTATAGTAAGATGCTTGTAAAATTGTATATAAATAGAATATTTGTGAAAAGCAGACTAACTGTCTGGCAAGAACGTAGAAGTTGAGAGTACGGCCAAAATAAATTGTAAATAAATATTCCTACTGTTGTGAAAGACAAGGTAGTAAAATAAAAGAACTTTGAAGTGTATTTCTCTTGATCAAAATATCCACGATCTAGTGATACGGACTGTATCTTATAAAAGCGAATTTCATAACAATATGTTAGACATGATGTTTGTTCCCTTTATAAAATATATCTATTTGATTCAAATTCCCTATCGGTCAATCATTTGCTACAATGCTGCTATAAGCCAGTTTGCACAATAACATATTAAGAATTAAGCCTTTTTCTGAAGAGCTCTTATCACCCATCAGAAATCTTATATGGAATGGGACCAAAGAATGGATATTTAGCCCAAATTTTGTGGTCTTAATTTTTATGTTAAATTACTATCATGAACAAATTTTCATCATAAAACGCTAATATTCAGGCCTTTTTGGCATGTAAAAGTTTACATTTGCTGATAATCCTTATATATGGTGGCATTCAAGAAATAGACCTTCATGGCCCAAATTCAGTAAGATTGATTTTTTATGCCAATTTACTATTATGAACCAACTTTCATCTGGAAATATTGAAAATTAGACCTTTTTTCCAAATAAAAATTTCGTTTTTTTAGGAAGATTATATGAGAGTGAGTTCAAAAAATTTCCCCGACCGAACTAAATTTTCTACACCAATTTAAAATGAGGAAACACTATTAGACGGCGGGTAATGTTCGGGGAGTGCTCGAAAAATTGGTCCGATCCAAGCCATTTTCAATAGCGTTCATCTTTGGACCAAAGGACGCCAGCGCAACGAATTTCGTGAGTGAAAGACAAGAAAGGACAAACATCAGGCGATCAGGTGGTCAGACGTACAAAGAAGCTTAAATCGATTCAGAAAATGATTCTCAATCGATCGGTATAACAAAAGCTAGTCTATCTCAAGTGATTCTGGATGTTGCGTATATTCGAACAAACTTAATATACCTCGTACGACAAGTAGTGTACGGTATCACAAAAGAAACAAAATTCAACTTGCTTTTGCCCGGTGTTTTTTATGCGCTTTTTATTTGTTCGATTGGTTTTAAACGACTTATTTCACTTGTGCGTGTTGTTTTGTGCAACTTGTTTGTAAGCGGTGCATAAATATGCCTAGAGATACAGAGAGAAAGAATGTGTTTGCGTTATAGACTACGACGAGTCCTATGTCCAATCAGAATGTATACTTTAACCATTTCTTTCATTTGGAAATAGTTTTCTCCCTATTTCGCAAGGCTTGACCATATTTTCAAAGAAAGACTTTTACACAGCCCCTTCCCACCGCATGGAATAATTTTCCTTTAATATGTTGTAAAAATTTATTGGTTATAGCTACTTATAAAGTTACTGTACACCTTTTTTTTATAGCTTTTCTTTGTGGGGCTTGATTTGTAAGCATTGTTAACATATTTTTTCTTCACTTAAGTTACAGCTAACTAACACCAACCTAACCCTTTCGATATTTAAACAGATTAATAACTTGATTATACCTTAATGAAAAGAACGTTCAGTTATTTGTCAAATTATGAATAAATGGATAAAACACTATACCGTAAAACACTGAAAGGAAAAAAACAATTTTTTTACACATACAATTTTTTATCGCAAACGTTTAACTGTCTATTAACTTAAATGCTCTCGCAATCAATTATAATTTTTTAAAATAACAAAAAGAGAATATTTTAATATAAAAGCAATATGCAAATAAACATTATTCCTATTAGTTAATTAATATAAAACGTAATGAAGTAAAAAACAGTGGTTTTTTCTTATTAACAAAAAAAATAAATGAATTAAAGCAAAATGATGATTATCGATATTGATGTTAATATTATTAAATTTTTTCTTTCAAGTAAGATAGAAGTTGAAGTAAATTAAAATGTCAGTAAACATTCACACGTTATGAAGATCAAAACTTTTCGATGATTTATGTCGCCGCGAAAAAATATTAAAGACTCTATACTTTATACCTTTCATATTTTTGCTGGGAAGCACTGCACGAGCGATCAAATCACACTGATCAAGCTGATACTTAAATCAATTCGATCTTATAGATAACCGTAAAAAACTCCATTCGCATCATGCTCGCTATAATCGATCATAATATGCGGGCCAATTATGGTGAGAAACATAGCGCGATTAACCAATGCTCTTAACCAATCTATCCATTAAATTAACTATCTAGTAAATTAACCAATCTATCTATCTATTAAAACTAAATCTATTTACCAATGAACAGTTAAGAGTTTTTTTGGTAATAAATACTAACCTGCTTATTATCTCAAGTTTCTGTTATGGCGTATGCTTCTATTAAAATAGTGTTTGATCAATTCAGAGATTGTGTTTAATTTCCGTAGTCATTTAGTACCAATTAACGTCTTAATATGATTATCTAAACGAAGAGCATCTTCGGCATAATATGCATATTAGAATCGGTCTTCCATACATCAAGCAATTTTTAGCTCATTTGCAATTGTTTATGAAACTTCGGTCGTAACCTTATATCACTACTTACGTTCGATATTAACCTGGGAGGTAATCACATAGTTGAAAGTTAGCTTTCACTCTTTTTTCAAACAACTAACAACGAAAGCGAAAGCTAACCATTTCAATTGTGATTATCCCCTGATCGTGCAGGGAGAGAAGCATTGCGTCGACCAGAAATTTTCTCAATGAAATGGCTTTTTGTTTACGACGCCCTTTTACCAATTTATCTTCGAAATCCATCTTTGTCGTTCGCATTTAAATAATGTCTACACTTCGGATACTTTCATTTAAAAGTAAGTGTAAAGCATATCTTCTCGAATTGTCGTAAAAAATGACTCGATTGAATAATGTTTTCTTGACAAACGTAAGAGCTTGAAGCAATACGAATATGTTCAGACTTTTGAGCGTCTTTCCGCTCGCTTTTACCTGAAATTTTTCTTGTTGCAAAAATTGAAATTTACCGCAGGCGAAGTTTGCTAGAAGCCATTATTTATCAAGACGAGCGGGAAAATTTTTAGAAAGAAACATTGAAAGTAGCATCAAAAACTTGGAGACGAAATTAAAGCAATTGTCGACATAAAATTTGTTAAATCATTTTAAGAAAAAATAGTCCTAAGTATTACTTAAGACTATGTAAACAATAATATTTATATTACTTTAATATATGTTAGCATTTTACGTAGTGGACAAATACGAGAGTTGCGCACACATGAAGGGTACAATATTTTCTTTTTTTTTAAACCCATCACTCAAGGCTGAGGGCTATATTGATTTCATTAAAACCTTTGCAACGCCCAAAAGGAAACTTCGGAGACCCAGCAAATTATATTCTTGGTCAGCATCAAATTGTGAACCGATTTAAGCATCATCGTCTGTCCGTCTAACTATCTGTGTAATGTCTATTGTGAACCTTCTTCTGTCCGCAAAACGGAAGCTATCGTTTTCAAGCCGGGCAGAAACATTGAAAGCCCTTGTACGCAAGTTGGTATTGTAATTAAGCTAAGTCCGTCGAAGGACATGCCTACAATACTACGTAATGTGAGGACACCTCGGTTTTTCCAAAGTATTAAAAAATTGGTTTTTTGCTTATTGCTTGCAAACTGCAGCAGATAAATCCACAAATATTTAAACGTATATTCCATTTGTAATACTGTATAATGTATACAAAAATGGAAAAAATCTTAATTTTTTTGCAAAACTTTTATGACGCACCGAAACAAGCTTTAAAAATCCCATACGGTATATAAATTCTTAGTCAATGTCAAACTCAAAATACATCCTAACATGTCCGTGATGTCCATGTACCTATCTGTCTGCCTGCGCGACGACGTAGTCGCTATAGTAAACATTATCCCGTTCGCAAAAATAAAGGTACTGCCTATACACATGCAAAAGAATTTGAAAATAGTGCAAACACGAACACGTCTACAACGCCCACGCGTCTATATAAAAAAAAAACTGTGAATACCTTGTTTTTTTCCTTGTTTTTTGCTTGTTACTCATAATCCACAACCCATACAACATATAAATTTCTACCTTTAATCTGAAAATAGAAAAAAGCGCAGCCGCGCCCACCCAATACGGTATATGAACATTTAGTTCTTTTCCTTCTTTTAGGATCGCGGTGATGGATATAAAAGAATCGGTCTCGGCCGAATATAATTTTCTTACCTGTTGTTTTTTTTTTTTATTTTGTATTAATTATAAATTCAATGCATTATAATTCATTGTTTTCGTTTTTTCATTATCTACTTGCTTTCAGGCTGTTTGTAACGCTTTTCTGTAATCAACATTTTGCTCCCATTTGTTGTGAATCTCATCAATAAAAAGAAAAAAAAAGAAAAAAAAAAGAAACGTTAAAACTAAAAGTCAGAACAGGACACAACGAAAGCGAGAACATTTTTAAATCAATACACAAAAGTACACCCGGTTGCCCTTCGGCTTTACTACGTATGCCGAGCAACAACAAATAGCAATTGAATTGTGTTGTAACATTATTACGCACATATCATAGAACGAAATTGAAAAAAAAAACAACAAAATTTTTTGTAAAAGTAAAGTAAACAATTGTATTTCTTTTATCATCACCGCCGTCATCACAGTCATCACATCAGCATAGTCATCATCATTATCACCATCATCATCATCAGTATTAGTTAAACATTGCTATCGCCATACAAAGCAAATAATACACAAAGCACCAGCAAAATGAAACATTACCACCGTCAGCTGTTATCGATGTGCACAGCAATGCTGGCATTGGCCTCCTCCATGTCAATGTTGCCACATTTAGCACATGGCACAACGGAGGTACAAGAGACACCATTAGCACTGCCGGTTGCCGAACAGACACAACCAACAACAGCATCACAGGGTGAAATCTGGGAAGAAGACGATCATGAAATATTAATACGCAATGAACGCGGCACAAAGAACGATGGTAAGTAACAGCACCAGATATTCATGGTAAGTACAAATACAAGTGTTTGTCCCTATTTGCTTATAAAACGCTTGGTATTTCTTATGCTACATGTCTGTATGCTTTGCTTTCATATTCTAATGCCACCATCACAGAGAGAAGCAAATGTGTGCACAAGTTAACGATTTCTTTGCAAGTTTCCTCAAATATTTTAAGAGAAAGTATTTACGTTGAAAAATCTCAAATCTCTGTTTCAAAAAGGATCAAAATGAAGGAAAAATAAAAAAATGCTAAACAGAAATGATTAAGTTCGTTATGTGTAAGTTGTATCATGAATGAAGACTAAACCGTTCAAGTTAAAAAAAGTTTCAGGAGATTTTGATCGACTCTTCTCCTCCATCCCGTTTTGCTTCGTTAAAGAATACCTTTTGCTTGGACGCATCGCAACTTATTGCAGTTGGTTTCCGATTTTTCAAGCCAAATTGTCGCTCATAAACACCCAGTCGATATGATAATTTTGTGTATGCAGGATCTGTAGCCATATTTTACATACAGTAATCGCCCATATTACGCGTTTTCATATTACGCGATTTCAATCCCCCGTATAAGACGGGCATTCCCCCATATACATATATCTGTACTGTGAAATTTATAATGATTTTCACGTGCAAAAGATTCGTTAATACCAAAAACAGAAAAATGTTTGATGATTTAGCTTATACGAGATCGTAAGAATGTGTTATACGGGAGTACCCATAAGACGGCTTTTTCTATAACGCGAAACCAATCTACTGCGTTATAGGGGGAGTTACTGCAGCGTTAAGGTACTGTACAACTAAGACACTGCAGAGTTATTGGACGCTTTGCGAGGCGTACTCAAGAGTATTCAATGAAATAATTTAAACTTGCATCTTGGGGAAAACGGTGAAAGTGGTTTAAGGTTATGCATCCAACTTGTGTTTTGCTATTTAAAGGTCATCAAATCTTTACCTTTTTAAAGTCGATTACTGACGATGAAAAGAAATTCGCCGACAACACTGTTATTCAAGAGAAATTACATTTGCTGTGCGGACGGTTTGCTCAAACGGTCACAAAAACTGAATTACATTCAAAGTAGAGCATACGGTTTACATAATGAAATAAAAAATTAATTGGCTGCTGTTACTTAACGTACGCATTTTTACACCCATGTATTGTTCACAATCAGATCAGATCAAAACAAATCGTCATTAAAATTTTCAAATAGAGAAATTAATTGATTTTCAGGCAACTCTAAATCGTACACTCAATCCATCACTCTTTCCGTCCGCTATGAATTAATAGGAATGACAGAGCACAAACCTTTAGTTAGTAACGTGAAAAGACGTTTCGTTTTTTTTTTTATCCAAACATCTCCAAACTGGTAAAGACTGTAGTTGCAGTTCTGTAGACTAAGGGTTTTAAGATTTAAAATTGAAATTATCAATTAATTTAGTAGAATAACAAATAGACGGAGGTGAGTTTTATTCAAAATCTAATCAGCAGATTTTGAATGTCGTTACAAAGGAGCGGCGACTTCATCTCCTATATCCCACAACTGCGAACCGATAGTTTCCTATTCTAGAGATCGAGCCGCCAGAACTAATTTGACATCGCTCTCACAATATTACCTGCCCGTTCTTTTCATATCCAGCTCCACAAACTGCAAGTGAAAGTCGTGGCGATAATCGCAAGACCTTATGCTGGCTTTTAAGTCGTAGATCAATGGATATGTGATGTAAAATAGAAATTCGAAAGCCACGCTAAAATTCATTACATACCCAAGGTGAAGTCAAAATATGAACTAGCAGTTGTAGAAGTGAAAGTGTCGCCTGTTAAAAAATCAGCGTAGTAAGCATATAATTACAGTACAACTATCGTAATTAGATGAAATTGCGCTTAGATTAAAACACAAAGAGCTGAAGAAAGGAAACAAGTAAGAAAATTATATTCGCTTTTGACCGAATCTTTTATACTCATCATCGCCATCCTAAAAAAAATGTGAAATAGAGAAAAACGATTACAGTTTCATACTCTGTAATATTGGGTGAGCGTGGCCGATTTTTCTTTTGGTTTTAGAATAAAAGTGGCGATCTATATGGTGTATGTGTTGCACTTTATGAATAACAAAAGACATGGAACAAAAAAAACGGAAAACGAAGGTGTTCACGGTATTTGTTACACAGGCCTGTTGCGTGTCCCCTGTCCAGCCGGTGACATTTTCAAATTCTTTTGCAAACATTTTCACTTTTTGGTAATATATTCATTTTTGCAAACGGGAGAATGTTTACCATAGAAACTACACAGTTAAGCAGACGGACAGGCGGACAGATGGAGAGACCAACAACAACTATCAAAGAATTTATATTCTTTAGAAGATTTGCGAAACCTGTTTCTGCGCGTTACAAACGTATTGAAAAAAAATTATATTTTGATACTCTATAATACTGGATAGGCGTAGATAATTGTTTCCATTTTTGCACAGGTACTATAGCATTGTCCATAGAATACGCATTCAAGTTTTTGCACGTTTATCTGCCATAGGTTATGAGTCATGATCAAAAAACCAATTTTTTAATTCTGTTGATATACAGACATGCTCTCAGTTTACGTGGTGTTGTAGGCGTGTTCTTCCGCCGATTTGGCTCATTTTTAATACCATTCCGAGCATAAGAATTTCCAATGTTTGTGCGAATTTTGAAATTAATAGCGTTATTTTTGTAGACAAGACAGGGGGATTATGTAGACGAACAGCTTAAATCGATTCGTTATACCTTCCAGTACGTGGTATAATAAAATATAAGAACGTAAAGAAGAATTTCGCATTGTTAATGTGAAAAGAGGGGATTCAGTTAAAAATTCTAGAGAATCTCATTGCTTAGGAAATCCATCTTCGTAGATGTGCTCAAAAAATTTATTTACAAGGCAACATTCTCAATATTTACAACTTGCAAATGGCAAAGAGAGAGAAAGAGAGAGAAAAACTTAAAATCGTAAACTATGCGGGGCTTCGATTCTTCCTGACGAATATAATAAAAAATATATTTCTTTACAAAATTTTTCAGTTACCGACCGAACATGTTTTGGTTTTAGCAGTAACGAGCTCCAATGATTTTTTTTCATTTCAAATCAGTAAGAAAGATTAAACTTGTGAAAAAATTTTCTTCGTGCTTCATATTTTTTTCCTGTTTACCCAAAAATACAAAGCAAAGCAAAGAAATAATTTTTTATTTTCATATTGCTTTTCGTTTACTTACGGTTGGTTGCTACTTTTAAAAAACCGATTTATCGAATTTTTTTTACGCTTTACAATAAGATTTTGCTTTTTCTTACAATTTTTTGTTTGCTTATACCGAGGGACTAGATTTCCTTTTTCTATTTTTTCTTTCTTTCATTCTTCTTTCTTTACTTCTGAAAGCTATTTTTATCTAAAACTTTTCTGCAAACTTCGTTTTATTTTCTTCTGCTCGACATCAACGCCAGCCAGCTAAATACATAATAACCGTTGCCCATTAGAAAAGACCATAAAGTAAAATGATGATAAACGGATTACTAAAGCTTTTCACGCCATTAAGAAAAATTGGTGACGGTTTGCTGTCACGAGAGGGAGAGAACAAACTAAAATAAAACAAAACAAAGAACAACTAGGAAAAGTATATTTGGTCGTGACCGAATCGTTTGTACCCGTCAACGTTATCCTAAACAGACAAAGATTATAAAAAAACTAAATTTTTAATGCTCTTATTATATTATATTATGGAACGGGCGAAGCTAATTTTTTCTGTTTTCAAAGTAAAAGCTTTTGTCGTATGGGCATATGGGCGTTGTAAGCGCGTCCTTAAAAAAGTTTAAGTCACTTTCGAATGCCTTTGTAAATTTATGCGAATCTTTACCACAGGAACAATACGGTTGAGCAGGCGGACAGATGGATAGACGAATGTGCTTAGGTGCATTCCAAATTTAAAAGTGGCCAAGAATTTATAAACTGTAAGGGAATTTTAGAAGCTCGTTTTTGCGCTTTATAAAGGTATCGGGAAAAAATTACATTCTTTATAATATTGGATAGGCGTAGACAATTTTTCCTCATGTTTTTGCCAAATTTAATGTCGATAGCTTTACGGCCAGGAGAATGTTTACCACAGACATTATTTAAACGGACAGACAGCTAAACTGATAGACGGCTGAATGGACAAGCGGACAGACGTCAGACGAAGATGCTTAAATCGATTCAGAATTTGAGGGTGATCAAGAATATATACATTTCGCAGGGTCTCGCTTGCTTCTGGGTGTTGCAAAAGTTCTGACTAAATGAATATACCCCTCATCCTTCGGGGATGAATATGAGAAGGAAAATAAGAGTAAAGAAAAGACTCTGCGCGTATAGGCGGAGTGATATTGTATCAAAATAGTTATTACTCTCGAATTTCGTCTCAATTATATCTTTTGCATATACAAACAGCAAAAACATTCATTACGTCTTCCTTTAATTCGTTTTCTCATACATAGTAATAACCATAATTTGTTTGTTTTATAGGAAATCATGTCGTTTAATTTGGTTGGATTGGATTTGATTTGGTCGTGATTGTATAAATTTCTCTATCGTTTAGCAAACAATGAAAATAAGATTTTCTTTACTGTTTTATTTATTTATTTGTTTATCGTTTTTAGGGCTTTCGTGTCGTTATGGTAAGAATCCTTGGACTGAGTGTGATACCAAAACCAATACACGTTCAAGAACGTTGACTTTAAAAAAAGGCGATCCAGCTTGTGATCAAACACGGACTATACAAAAGAAATGCAAGAAAGGTAAGCGAAATTTGTCCTTACTTAAAATTTTTAAAGGCTGTTTTCTATCTCGTTTTTGACTTTTCATTTTTTTTTTTTCTATTTGTCGACTCGTTTATATGTTGCCGGCATGTACAATATATGTCCAAGATAACTGTTGAGTTTAAAGCTAATATTTTTTAAGGCAACATGCAAAATTTTTTAAACAACAACAACATGTTCATATTCTCAGGCCACGCTGTGTGTGGACAATTTTTATCGCTTTTAAGATATTATAATATAATAATGGATACTTGCATGTATTTTGATCAGTGATATCTGTTGATGAAAATGATACAGTGATGCGAAATATGAATGAACAGAACAGTTAAATTCGATAATTTTGATCTTTTTCTACGTAAAATAACAGCTTTGCCTTTAGTATTATTGAGTTATAACATTGCTTACATATGCTTATAATAAAACCCTCAAAATTGCATTTTCGGCATTCGTTACCTTCGTTGTTTGATTTGATGAAATCTGCTGCCAAAACCCATCAAATACTTAGCCGGCTTAGCTTAGAAGCTTATGATGATGCTTCCTCATCATGTCCTAATTTTGGATTTTGATTTCAACGGTTTTAAAGTTGCGATGTTGGTGTCAATTAAGAAAGAAAGGCCTGATGTACCCAAGAACTCGACGCTAATGAATTGCAAGACTTATTGGATGAAAGCCTGGCTCAAGCTCTCAAAGAACTTTCGAAGGGCTTAGCTGTTGATGAATTAAGTGTTTCTAGACGTTTACATGCATTATAAAATATTCAAAAAGAGGGAGAAAAGGTACCAAACGAATTGACTGAAAATGCGATTTTAACGTCGTTTCAACATCGCGGCTTCATTGTATGCAGGGCAAAAGAAAAGAGTTTCTTGTGACATATTGTGACGTGAAACCGTAAATGCCACTACTACGATAGTCCCAAGCGTAAAAAGTGAAGGTCTAATCCAGTAGAGCCATCCGTTTGGTGGGATCAGCTAGGTATAGTGTATTATGAGCTGCTAAGCAGAATGAAACTGCTATTGCAGTTATGTACCGAGGTTAATTGAACAGATTGAATTATGTATTATTGCAAAAAACAGCAGCAACAGCGGTTAACAGACGCAAAGTCGTCCTCTTGCATGATAACACTAGATCACACATTGCAAGGATACGCCGTTGCAGTTCTAATGGGAAGTTCTGCCGCACTCAGCGTACCCGTCAGGTTTAACGCTTTCTGCTTACCACTTGCTCAAATCGATGCAGCATGGCCTGGCTGGCACATGGTTTCGAAATGCTGAAGAAATGTGAAAATGGGCCGATGATTGGATCGATGCCAAGCCGGTATCGCCATGTTGCCAGAAGGATGGGAAAGACTGTTAGCAAATGAACGAAAATGTTTTGGTTAATATATGAAGTGAAGTTTGGTTAATATGTAAAGTGAAAAAGTTGTCAGAATTCATGCAAACATCTGACGTATATATATAGAAAGTCATGTTTTGTGATAATAAAATAAATGTTTTCGCTCACAATGAACGGCGAATTAAAAATAATAAAAATTCTAGTTAGAATGAAAGTGCATATGGTGTTTCATTAACAATTATACGATTTCTTTGAAAAAAAGAGAAAAAGGCCTATGAAAATTGGCGAAATGCAATTTCTTTTTTCATTTTAAATTTTAATCAATGTAGTTAAGTTCCAAATGTCTACAAAGTTTATCGGTACCCACACGAATCCGATAAATCCTATTTTCGTCACTTTGCTTACTACATCTGGCTAAAGTTCACCAATATGACGTTCAATATTCATTCATAAAGCACGAATAGACCTCGAAGAACAACTTGAGATAGCCCCGAGGAAATAGTCCAAAAGCCTTAAAAAACAGTTCATCCGATGCAACTGAATGCCGGAATTTGTCAATATTTTTACGTAACAGAACTTATCAAGTAACAAATCAATTGTTTGTACTGTTGGTATATAGTTTTGTTTCGTTATGTAAAGCCAGATGTTGTTCAGATCGGGCCAGATATGCGTTAAGAAATATTCTCAAATCATGCTTACGAAGTTGTAAAATTAACGTTATAATCTTTTTGTATGATGCTTGTTATTGAAGATTAAAATTGTCTGGCTACCAACTAAGAAGCTTTCTTCACAATATTTATCATCCTTCGCTTTATACGAGCGTTTTTTATACACCAGCATACTACGCTTATGATACTGGGTGTATTAAGTTTGTGCGAACGTATGTAACATTCACAAGGGCTTACGATCAGTGCAGAATCATTTTCTAAATCCATTTGAGCTTTATCTGCTGATCTCAGTATATATGTTTTCGGTGTTTGATAATATTTAATAAGCCGACATTTTTGACGCAGGGGCAAAGAATGTTGAAAAAGGGCTTCTTTTAATATCATTCCCTATACAGCATCCCATCTTAAAAAGATTGTTATATGAAAAAAATCTGTCGACAACTGTCATTAAGTAATAGCATTTCGCCATATTAAATTGATGTCAAAAATTTTGAATCGAATAGACTGATATATTGAAACTCCTTTTCTTACGCAGACGTAAGCCTTGATATAAAAAACAGTCAAATTTCAATATTTCACAGTGAAAATTAGTCTATGCTAATAACTTGACTTGGAAATTAACTGTGTCAAATTTTTACCTAGTAGGGTGATTTTTCGAGATACACCCAGTATAGGGATACACTTGAAAACTAAGCCTTTATATGGCAACAAAATCTAGGTTTTAGTACTTTATGACGAAAATATTGCAATAATTATAAAGTCTTTGGCAAGAATATGTCGGTCCGCGTTTTGGGTTCTCTTCCATATAAGGGCAATGAAAAACTATGCCCTTACTTGCAATTTAGGCGGAATGGTGTAAGGAAACTTAGTCAGCGGCCTTAACCGACGATAATGCTTTTACTTCTTATTCACTGTGTTTTTCTTCTACAGGCTCTGTTGACATATAAACATCTTTTCATATTTACACTACATGCAAGCGTGACTAAGATTGCAAATGCTTGGGACTGTGCAAACATTGAATTGCTTGGCAAATATTTTTGTTGCTTTTATGTATTTATACGCGAGCGCAAACAATAAATAAATTCTTGTTTTCTCTGTACTTTGTACGCTGTTTAATGTCGATAATCGTTACTTGTGATACTCGTTGTATGAAATATTTATGTACCATTTACAATTTTATTACTCTTATCTTCCGGTATAAACCATATTTCAATTTTTTTACTTCTGTTTTTCTTCTTTTTTTTTTTTTTCCTTCTCTTCCTTATTTTGTATTTTTCTTAAAGATAGCACGTTTCAAAGATAAACGTGCTCGTATGACTTTTTTATTGCATTGATTTTCACCATAAAATCCGGCAGTATTCGATGAAGGATCTTTTGATTTTTTGGCTTTTTTTTTGTTTTATGTCTATTCGTGAAAATGGGAAATAGTTTTACATATTCGTTTAGCATAAGTAAAAAATATATTGGTTTCTGGATAAATCAAGTTTTGCTTGTTTATCCGTCTTTTGCTTGTTCATCTGTCTCGTCTATCTAATAAATTAAAAAAAGAGAGAGTTTGAGCTTTCTCTTTCTTCCTGCTTCCATTTCTCACATGAGCGTGTAAGAAAGCGAAAGGAGGAATCCGATATCTATGTTCAGCCAATTTAATATTTGATTACGTCATGAGTAACGCTTAAAATGTTATTCCGTTCAGTGGTTAAAATACTTTCAAAAAACTAGGGGAAATAAAGGAATGATGTATAAGAAGTTCAACACAAAGCTAGTAAGTTTTGTTTTTGCTTTACGCGAGTTAATGTCGCGAGGCTTGTAACTGTTAAAGTTTATCATTTAAATATGGCGCCATATGCACTTTGAATATGTTTCCAAATTAATACCATTTTTATCAAAAGTCACGGTTGGTTATACCAATCTTTCGTCCATTAGCGCTGTTTTACGCTGATGGCAATCTTTGCTATAAACAAACAATTCAACGTTTTGTGAAAAATTGTATTTGTCGTTGTAAATGTTCTTCTGCCAAATGACGCAACACTACGCAAAGGAAGAAGATAAAACATGTAGCAACACTATAGTTGCGCAAGGCCGACCACTAGGCACCCCACAGCACACCACTTTGCCTAGCACAGTTACTTACCCGGTTTGGTAACACAATACACCAGAATTTACACATTACATTCACGCGAACGCATACTTTTCATGAGTGGCGGATGCTCAAGACATCAAATGGCGTGATTCAAATTTAACGAACTTAATTCACTTCCTAAAAATTTCATACCTTCTCTCCATATAAGGGTTTGCTCTTTATGTTAGCCCTTATATATGCTAGAGTGTACAAAATGGACTTATCTGATCCAAGCTCCCTACTCTTCATTCGTTTGGTTAATTTGCTACTATGGAGCTAGTTTCATCATAAAATTTAAAAAAATTTAAACTTTTTCTAAAGCGATCTATAATTTATGCGAAACTTTATATAGAATGGATTCCAAGAAATAGATTCATAAGGTTTAAATTTGGTCTATATAATATATAATTTTTGTCAGATTAATATCATGAACAAATCTTTATCGTAAAACTTTAACAATCAAACCTTTTTGCATATAAGGGTTTACACTTTCTGAGAATAGCTTATCTGCGGTGGTATTCAAAATAAGAAAATGAGTTTGTAATAGGTTGCTTTCTTAACAAAGATAAGAACATTTCGTGTAGTAAGCGAATTTTAAAATCCAATTCCTGTCGGTCAATAAAGAACAGTATTTTCTTATGAAGAAATGGCATGAAAAATTGCTCTGATAAGGGTTCATGCAGCTTGTTCTGCTATGAATTTACAACATTATCTTATTAATACAACGTACATACATTAATAAAACAATAACAGCCGGAATAGTCTGCGACGTCTATGGTATGAGGAGTGGGTGATGCAACAATGAAATTATAATTTAACTTTTACGTTTAATGAGAATACTACAAGTGTGTATATAAATATGATACACGAATCGATAACTGTCGGGACTGATGCATAAATGTCGTCCCTACTAAAAAATTATTTGTAAGTCTCAACCATCGAACAACATGTGTAAAAATTTCAGGCTATTGCATTGATTCGTTTAGGTGCTTTCAGCGATATTATATATATTATCTTAAAATCTATGGAAAAATCCGAATTTGATGTTTTGAGTAAAAAAGCATTGTTCACACAATGCATTGCAAAATGTTGTAACACTGATAATTGTAGAAAGCTTAAACGGGGTGAACACACAAGGAATAATCGAATAAGCCCTGGAAATTATTGCCGACTAGTAAAGAGGCAGTGCATTCAAGATTGTGCATGAGAAACATGTGCTCTCTCCTATAAAGCAACAACTACAATTGTTTTCTATTCCGCAAACGTATTCTTCAAATCAATCCCCCAGTCACAATTATCGTGTACGTCGTGATCATGTCGTTACCAAAAATAGAATTTATTTTCAAAATTTTGAGCAGTCGTTATATGAAAAAATCATCAAAATGTTGGAGAAACTTTAGATTGATTCCATCACTTTTGAAAGCGACTACGTTAACGAACAAAATCGAATTTTGTAAAAGAAAAGTTTTTTCTTATTTAGTTTCGAGATTTATTGACTGATGTATGACTAATATGTATCTACGAGTATATGTATACGCTTATGGTGGTGTTCATGTATGCAAATGCATATGAAAATTATCATTTATAGTGGAGCATTTTTTTTAAAGGCGGTCACCATTATCATAACAATGGTTAGTGAGTGTCGTTGGGTAAGCAGAGATAAGCGACGACATTTTTGGTGAATGAATCTGGACTCGAAAATTTATTAAATGGCAGCTAAGCCACAGCAAAAAAGAAAAAAAAAATATATATATATATTTTATATATATGTACGCTTAAATATATATATAATATATATAAAATAAGACAAATATAAAAGTTACGAAAATATATATATTAAAGAGAGCGATTAAAAGACTTTTATATTGTACTTAAATATCGTTTTTAATTCGTTCTAATTTGCTTAGTTTATATAATTAAAAGGATTACAAGAATCATTAATTGGGTTTTCCCCTTTCACACAACCGGCCAACTTGATATTCTGTTTTACGCTAATTTCTTTTAATATTAATAAAAAGAAGAAAGAAAGTTAAGGTTCTGTATAACTTTAAAATACACACGCGCATATTTATATAAGTGTTTATCCGTGTGTACGCTTTTTTTATTCGATTTTATAGCTTGCCGCTACGAAAAGGGTTCTTGGTCTGAATGTGCTACCGGTCAGATGACACGTGCTGACAAATTGAAAGCAACCAGCGATCCATCGTGCGAAGCAACACGTATTATTAAGAAAAATTGCAAACCTGGCAAATCCAAGGATAAGACTGCCAAGGAACAACGCAAGAACAAAGATAAAGGTAAGAAAATAAAAAAACATCATAACAGAAAATTAAGGAATTATGTGGTTAAAGCCTACACTCTTTCACACATTCGGACCCACGCAACACACACAGATTCTATTCCCTTGATGTTTGCGAAAATTGATGAGGAGCAAGTGTTAAGATGATTATAAATATAATTGAAAGCATTTTCTTCCTCTTTTTTGCATACAAATTAAAGCGATTAACTGACCTTTTTGCTTTTCTACGAACGTAAATCTTTTAATAGTCTTGAAGTTTTTTATTAGGAAAATTAAAAACAAAAAAATGTTGTTTCTTCTTTTGCTCAAACTATTTTCGGAAAAGTAATTGATTTTACATTAACTTTTTTTTTTTTTTTTTTTTGATAACAACTTGACGATAAATAGATTTTCAATTTTCAGATTCTTATGGTATCAAAAACAGAGTTCATATCTACTAATTTTATGACACGTTCTCTATTGGATTTTTCATTATAGGGCCCCTCACCGCGCTGTATAGGCATATTAGGAGCCCTTACTCAAACCACCTGTCGATGATCTTTGCTGCTTTTTTAGTTCATCTAAAAAATTGACTTAAAATAAATAAAAGAAATGAAAAGTTTTTGAACAGGTCGCCATTACCAATAGCTTTAGTCACCCTATTCTTACCACTGTTTGCATATTAGAGGCACGAAAGCATTACAGAGTGCAAACATCAATGCGGACTACTTTACGAGATTTTCAATTATTTGCATCATACATTATTAATTCACGGATTTATTCTAGCGATTGTAAAGTTTTATTATCGCATCCTGTTTGGATAATTTCCAAACGATCTTAAATCGTACAGTGACTCATTCAATTGCATCTTACAATTTAACAAGCAAAAAAGGTAGAAACTTAAATAAACCAAAAAATATATCATGATAAGATCTTAACTGAATTGAAGGAACCTCCTCCATTCGCACGAAAAAAGCTTATGTTTTCGATTCATTTAAATACAGTAAAAGCTCTTTATTCGCGGGCTATTTGTTCCATAAATATGCCGCGAATACGGAATGATAATTTATATGCGATTATAGGGGATACGTTCCTAGGTGACAAAATGAAAAAACAGCGGTAGAGAGGTGCTACTCGACCGCAATTTTTGTAACGAATCTGAAAGACGACACAATAACACGCAAGCGGCTTTTATCATAGAACGGAACAGCAACATTTAAAAGTATGTATTTTCATATATATTTATTCATTGAGTAATAAGGTTGCTTTCATTCTTGTTGTTGTTTACATTCTCAAATACACCGACCGCGGAAATTTATTGCCACGAATATAGGAATTGGTCGCATTTTTTTAATCCGCGAATAGTGAAATCGCGAATGAAGGAAACGCGAATAAGGAGCTTTTACTGTATATTGAAGACAAGTCAGAGAAAGCACATAAATTTTGGATCAATTCTGAATTGAATATTAATTTGTTTTTGCCAATCCTTCTGAAGCTTCGCTTTTTCGTTCATTTGTACGTCCGAACTATCGTCGTTTGCAAAAGATTTCATGAATTTTAGATACGGTCTGATATTCTTCGTTTACAACGATAAGAAAAGTTTGAAAAAAATGCCAATAGGCTCATAAGAAATGATAATAAAAACAAGTAAGAAAATTTTATTCGATTATGACCGAATATTTTATAACCGTCATCGTTATCCTAAAAAAGAAAAAAAGTAAGAGGACTAAATTATCACGCTCTATAATATTGAGTGGACGCGGCTGATTTTTTCGGTTTTCAAAATAAAAGTTTTTGTCACATAGACGTGGGGGCGTTGTACGCATGTGCTTGGAAATGCATGCGTTAGTTTCAAATTCTTTTGCAAATTTGTACGCGACGTCTTCATTTTCGCTGACGGGAGAACCTTCACCACATATACTACACAGTTTCGCAGACAAATAAATGGCCAAACTAAGAGACGGACATATTTAGATGCATCCCAAATTTCGTATATCGAGGGTGGCGCGTTAAATGAAAACTGAGACTTGCGCAAACATTTTAAGAAAATATTTACCGAAATCCTTAAAGACCGCAAATTTCACTTGTGCTTTAAGCATGAGAGATAAATTGTATTTTCTCGATTCTATTAAGCTTTCCACGTCTGCAATGGTGGCAACATATAGCAAAACCGTCACAAATATATATTAGCATGTACAGAAAAAATGCTGTAAACGAAATGCCTTAAGGTGGAACTGTTCTGCAATATTTCATCGCAGAATTTGCACATAATTTGAATGTTAATCGTAATCCGTACCGCGATGTACCCAGCGGTCACTTATTAGAATACTGGAAATAATTAAAATATTATTGTTTTTGTTTATAGCTTGAATTCATTTATTTTATTCAAATAAGCTCCGTGCATATATATATATATAAAAGACATAATACATTCAAAAGAAAAAAAAATTAGGAAATATGTATACGTATATATGTTGTATATATATATATATGTATAAGCACATGTTGTATATATACATGTTGGTGCAATTTGCCGAGTGTTCGATGCATGCATTTTTTTATAACCATCACCGGAGCATGAGAGGTATATTTATTTTGTCAAAAGGTTTGCAACGGACAGAAGGAAGCTTCAGCGACCCCCCAAAGTATATATATTGTTGATCAGTATGAAATTCTAGATACCGTCTGCGTAATGTCTGTTATACACATTCTCCAGACCGTAAAAATGAAGGTATCACGGCAGAAATGTTGGAAGTGCTTGCACGCAGGTAGGTATTGAAAATGGGCCAAATAGATTTAAAGACATGCCCGCAACATCACGTAAACTGAGAACACCTCTGCTTTTCAAAGAAATAAAAAATTTGTTTTGTCCTCATTACTCATACATTATAGCAGATAAATGTACAAAACTTTGAATGCGTATTCTATGGACGATGATGTACTACCTGTGTAAAAATGGAGACAATTATAGCGTATCAAAATTTAATTTTTTTCAATATTTTTATAACGCGCAGAAAGAAGCTTCAGAAACCTCAGAGAGTATATAAATTCTTGGACCGTTTTAAATTTGGAATACACCTAAATATGTCCGTCTGTTCACATGTTCATCTGTCCGTCTACGAAACCGTTTAATATATGTGGTGAAGATTCTACCGTAAGCGAGAATGAAGATATCGCCTACAAATTTGCAAAAGAATTTGAAAGTTACTTAAACTTTTCCAAGGATGCCTACAAGGCTCACATACTCATGTGACAAAAACTTTTATTCTGCCAACTGAAAAACTCAATCGCGTCCACTTCATATTGCAGAACATGATGATTTAATTCTTTTACATTTTTTTTTGTCTTTTTTAGGATAACGGTGATGGGTATAAAAGATTCGGTCATCACCGAATCGAATTTCCTTTCTGTTTTTTTTTTTTTAACTTTTATTTAATTATGACGTCATGGTTAACCACTATATATATATACATTCTATATTTACAAATATATATATATATATATATATATATACAGAAATTGAAAAAAAAAGCTAAAATTTCATATCTATTCAATACCCAACTTTCGCCTAATGCAGTTATTCCTACAGAGACTTCTCACAATAAGGTGTTGCAAGGGAATTGGAAACGATCGTCGTTTCGTCACAGCACTTCGATGTACAGAATTACATCAAAATACGCGGTCTGTAGATTGAACACAAGAACACAAGACTGACAGACAAGTATAGAGACAAGTATAGAACGATTTGAAAAGCTTAAGTCCTTCTAGGCATAAACTTAGTGTATCCTTGTACCACAATACTCTTACTTAGCGACTTGATGCATAAAATATGCCTATGATGAGAGTATTTAAAAAACGATTAAATCTAATTTCAATGTTATCTGAGTTAAAGTTGAGAGGTCTATTCCTACATTCCTTATCAGAAATATATTTTTGAATTTAGCGAGACATTTTTGAAATTGTAGAAAATATTCGAGTTCTTGCCTTAGTATTTCATTGTATTAGTTATTTCAGCCACTACAAGTACTCAAAATATGGATGACTAACCGTCACTTGCTTACATAATGTAGATGCACTTAATCAAACGTACACATATCTTTGTATCCAATGTAATAAATCGCATCTAGATTTGTTGGATAGTCAAGATATCGACTTAAGTCCCGAAAAGCTTGCTCGTTTATTGTTTGCTAAAACTCAATAAAGAAAGCCTTTATCTTTTTATAAAGAAAATGATTTACCTATTTTCATCAATTACTTTAATAAAATACTTTGGTTTTTATGTTTTTTACTGTATCACCCATTTATTTGTTTTCGTTCTCTTTGTGCGTACTTTGCATTAGATCTGAAAAATTTGTACGTATTTTTCAATCAAATCCATTGACATTGTAATAAAATAAAAAAGAAATAATGCCCGCTGGCCACACCTATGCCAACTACTTTGTGGTTACTAATTAAAGTATTTTTCGTTTTTTGTTTTTGCTTTTTTTTCGTCTTAAAAGGAAAATAGAAAATGAGAAATGAAAAGTTGAAAACAGAGAAACGCTAAATAAGAATGTATGCATAAAATAAACTTTTGCAGGAGGAAGTAATTTTCTCTAATAGCGAAATAACAAATGCATATATATATATAATATATGTCTGTGCGTGTGTGTGTATCTATATGTATGGTTATATATACACATATATATATATATATATATAGATATATATATATATTATTTAGCTCTCTCTGTGCAATTCTTCTTTTACACAAACCCCAAAAGGCTCGGAAATGCATAAAAACAGAAGCGAAAAGATGAGAATAGCAAGAAAAAAAATGAAAAAGAATTGTTAGAAAAATAAATTCTTTGTTGTCTGGTTAAGGTGAAAAATAAATATTAAATTCTCTTTTTTCAATGGAATCTTTCTTGGTTGTTTAAAATTTATATACAGGAATACATTTATCAAGAAATAAGGAAAAACTAAGCGAATATTATAAAATCTGGAACTGAAAAAAAAAAAAAAAAAAAAATTAAATAAATAGCGCCTTGCAAAGGATTACAATTAAATAAATTGATTTAATCATGATTTACGAGCCATTATTGTGCTTAAGCGATCTACACATATTTGTAACAATTAATTTTTTTCAGATGGCTTTTTAATAATGTGAGCTACAGAGGGCACCGCAA